GTATAACTTACCTACACGAACCACTCATCTTTCTGACCAGAACATATATCACTGTAACAAAAGAATTATTAATTTTGGAATTCTAAATAAGAGAATTTGCTGTGAAGAAAATTACGGTATAAAATAATAGGAAACATAAAATTGAAATACCATTATTATTATGTATAAAAAATAAAGAAAGTAAATAGATATACCTATCAGAACCATGGTTTCTAACTTTGCCTGGTAGTAGAGGAGGACCTGGGCCGCGCTGTGCCCGTGCCTGAGGTCCGCAGGGTGCAGCCAGTTTCCCGGACGGGGTAATGTGGTTGCTCCTTGTACACCACTCATTACTGGACCCATTTTCAAGTTCGAGGTACCGTTCGATCCGTACATATGTTGCACTGAAATACAGATTAATTAAATGTTACTCAGTAATATTATTTTCATTCTGCAACGAGGGTAATCTATTTAAATTATATTATTTATGATAACAACTATGAAGATAATAAAAATAAAAGAGTACATCTTTCCAGTTATTACAGATTGCAAATACACTATTATAGTAGTTCAATTACAAAAAAATAAGCCATTAATAATAAAGTTCACGCTGTAGGTCGATCGGAAATATGTATCATTGATGTAATTAAGAATAAGTAATTTCTATTACAACAAAATTCAAAACCCAGAGTATGATAAGCAAATAGAAATTTTATTACTACAGCCTGAATCGATCAATATAAAAATAAAATTTTCTTATCTAATCCATATTAATTCACCACGCACATGGAATATAATAATCTGTTTATAATTCTAATCAATCGATAAGTTTTTCAATTATCTTAATAATATTAAATAATATTTTGCCACGCGCATACAAGAATTAAAAATATTTAGATAAGCATAATTAAGTAGTTTTTGCAAATAATTATAAAAATTATAGGTTTTATGTTCAAAATACTATATTTATATTTAATACACATATTTTTAATAATTACAAAATAGTGTATACCATTTATTATTCTATTGATTTTAATAACTATTTAATCGTTGATGATTTGCTTTTATTGGATATTAAATAATATTTATTTTGAAATGTAATTTTAACAGATAAAATTAAGTTATTACTATAATGTTTCATATTAAATAAGTAAAATATTAAATAAAAAGAAAACATTTATAATTGCTTAAAATTTAATTGCTGTAAGAACAATAAATCAACTCTATTACAATAAGGAATGAAAAATTGTTAATAAATTTTAATTTCTGCATTTTTTAATTTTAATGTATATTTTTCTACTTTATTTATATATTAAAACATCAATATGTGGCGTTAATACAATATTAAATTATTTTTTGGAATTATTCTTATAAGAACAAATACTACTTCCTTAAAAAAAAATAAAATTTAATTTGCAGAAAATATAATTTTTATATTTGTTATAAAATATAAAAAATGTCTAAATTATATAAATTAATAATTACAATTGTTTAAAGAATATATTTATTATATTTTGTTTATATCTATTTGAAATAGAAATTATTTTAAATATATTAAACTAGAAATATTTTTGTTGTAAATTATAGTTTCTTAGTTTTTTTATAAAGTTTTTTAATTAGAATTAAATATAATATAATTATAATTGATGAAAATACCATTTTTAAATATAATGTTCAATTATGTGATTAAAATAATAATCGATTTATGATTTGTAATATAAGAATTTAATGTTTGATCTAAATAATGTAATTAATGTAATGATTAAATTTTTAAAAATCCTTTGATTGATTATTTTATTGAACAGTATAATCTCTCTCGAAAAGTGATTTGATTGATAAATAATAATAAGTAATAATAGATGTATTATGAATAATCATTAATTATTTAAAATTTATTAAAAATCTTTTATAGAAGTACTACATAAAAAATCATGTACTCAAGTTTGTTTGGGATGCAACTATTGGCAGTGATCATTATTATGTTCTAAAGTTATTCAGTAAAAAGTTCAATGAATGGATTTCTCAGTTCATCTTAACAAGTGAAAAAGCTCTATTGAGTATCAACTCCTTATTTAATTGCATCCAGCTTATAATAGAGTGAGAAACTTCTTGATAAAAGTCGATAAATCAGCGATAAGGTACGGATTTAAAAAATCTATCATTAATAGACAAAAAATCTATCAATTGTATATTTAGCACTAATTATCTTTATTTCAATATTAATATAAAATAATTATTTAAGTAATTCGATAAATAGTTTAGTAGTCGTTTTTGATTAACTCATTTCATATGAGAACCAGCTATTACATATTTTTTGTCAACGAAGAATTTACATGACCTAGAATGATGTAGTATAAGATTGACTATGAAACTTCTAAATCTTCTCTTTATCTATTATAGATTTTGCTCTAAATGACAGTCATAACAATAATGAAAATGATAGTGTTTAAAGAAAAATTCTATATTTTAGTAGTACAATGTTGCGATAAAGATATGTCACTTTTCATCTTCGTATGAGCCAATAGCACAGAAATTTTTAAAATAAAAATGTAGGAAAAGGTAGAAAAATAGAATATGATTTATCGCAATATATAAACCTCTATACATTATGTTTCCTGTCTAGTTATCAATCTCTAAATAATCATACCATAATAAATATAAATTAATATATTTTTAAGTAAACGTAATTAATTTCAATATTTGATCTTATAAAATTTATTTAAATGAAAAGTTGGTAATTTAATTTTTCAAATCATTAAACTTAATGGTTCTAAAATTAATTGCATATGTGGTTAAATAAATATTATGTTATGTAAAGGTACATTATTACAAATTATTAATCGTTTACTAAATATTGGAAATTATAAAGAAATTTATAAAACATCTACTTTTAACTATAAAACTATTATATCATTTATATTATATACTAGAAAATATTCCTATTTAATTTTTCACTTAATAACAATATTATAGTCATAATTCTGCTCTTAGGCATATTGAAAGTTTTGGTTATTTTAAATTACATAGGTGTTTACAAAAATAAGCTTTAAATGATATATGTTTATTAAAACCTAAATATATTAAAAACGAAAAGGTTCTTTAACTATCCCATCCAAAGAAATTGATGTTATATTTGATTCATCCCTGCCCTTTTCACGTTCTCTCCCTCTCTCTCTCTCTCTCTCTCTGTCTGTCTCTATATCGTGCTCTTGGTCCTATTATCCCCTATCATATGTTATATATTTTTATGTAGTACTAATAATAAATTCTTAAATAAAATGAACAATAATATAATCCTATAATAAAAATTGCAATAATTCAATTTTGGTGTTTTTTTATTTCTTTTTGCATATCATATTAAATGTTTATTGTTCTTGTCAAACAGAAGCTTATTATTATTACAGTAGCTATTAAAACGTGCATTCTGCAGAGAATAAATTTACAGACTACAATGCAAAATAACTATGCTATAAGATGCCATGTACGTTATTTAATTTTACTCAAATTATCAAAAATATTTTAAGAAAAGGAGTTTTCAAAGACATTATATCGTTTCGAATAAAAGTTACAAATATAAATTTCCATTTTATCAGTAAAACTAAATTCTAATTGAATTTTGAAATTTTATTATTATATTATTTCTCGTATTTTTCCATAGATCTCTATAGTATATACTTTGTATTTAGTGTTTTCTCATTATTGTGGAATTTTTTAGAGTTTTATAAATAATTCAACTGATCATATTTCCTACATAAAAATAATTTATCAATTTCTTTAATTATAAAAAAATTATCATTATTAATTATAGAAGCGAATTGTAAAAATATAAATATAATATTATTAATTGATTGAAGTAAAAGATATATAAATTATAAAAATTTAAATACTATACAATTATTTAGATAACGTACTTAATATATATTTCTCTTTCTCCCTATATATATATTCTACAATATATGTATATGATATAGAGTAACGAAAATAAAAGAAGACAGACAGGTGGAGAGAGAGAGAGAGAGAGAAAATCAATAAATCATTAAATAGATCAATTTTCAAATATTATTCGGTAAACTAATTAAATAAATTAGACTTTTAGTTATTTATGTTATATAGATGTTGTAATGTGAATTTTTCTACAAATTATAATATAATTTATACAAAACAAATATCAAAATATGACTTTATAAAGCTTTTTATTTTATAATACTTTATAATTTATTATTAAGGTACTTTTATTATATTATAGAAATTATTATTGATATATCGTTTATACTTTTTATAAAATTGTTTTTTATTGAATCAGGAATTCGTTATAAATATATTTTATGCATATATATATATATATATATATATATATAAAATTTATGATTTTAAGAATTTAACATGTTTAATTATTTTAGGAACGCAGCACATCTAGTACTTTTTGATAATAAAAGATAAAGAGTCTGTTATAAAATACATAGTAATTGTTGACATTGTAAAATATCATATTATGTGATAATTGAAATGAGATTTCAATGCTATTTATTTCTCATTAATTTTTCATAAATTTTACACACAAAATTTATGTAAACATACATATAATTATGTAATGAAATTACTATTGATTATTATTGTCCATTTCAAAATTAATAGCTAATGGTAATCATTGTCATAAAAGATATTCAAAATAATTATTAACTCTAGAAATCTATATTTTATTAATGTTGAAAATATGTTTTTAGTTTTATTTAAAGTATTTTAAATTTTTCATCATTTTAGTTATATGTAATCATTAAAAGATTAATAATTATTGAATTTTCGTTTTGTCTGTCTTAAACAAATTCATTTAGTTAAAAAGGTTTTATATATTTAAAAAAAATCTTCTATACGTATAATAAATTAATATCGTTAACTTTTAAACTTTTAAACTTTTAAAAAAATATTTATTTAAAAATATAAACTGTATACTTTATATTTATCATACAAATTTTCACAGATCTCATAGTAATGTATCACAATGTTTGAAATAAATCACAAATTTATGGCATAAAATTTTCAATCGTGAACATTCCTTCGGCAAATGGACTTTCACCTTTTGTTTTCACTAAAAAGAATCCTCTATTAGTCTTATCTACTGGATCACCGGCTAGTACTGCCGGTAACTTTGGGGGACATAATCCTAATAAATAAGTCAAAAAACCGGAACATCTCCATCCCCAGAATCCAATTTTGCTATTAATAGACTCAGCAAAATATACAGACGCACGATGATGATTACATCCAAAGGGATTTCTCTTTTCCCAACATCCCGGCTGGTTAATACCACCATTCATATAAAAATCTATATGTCCACTTGCTTCAATTTTACCTTGTACGAAGGCATTGGTATGAAAGACATCTACAAATTCTGCGTCTCCTTCGTCCAGTTTCTGATCTTTATTAACAGTAATAAAAAGTGGCATAGCTGGATCTAAGCCCGTTATTCTTGATAATTTATATGGTTTCAAATAATTTGCTGAGTAAGCAGGAACATGAGCACCTAAAGAAAAGCCAATTACATGGATATCCATAGCTCCATGATCTTTAAGTATATCGATTAACTGAGCAAGACATTGACCAACGTGTGGGACATTGTATACTGCAATTGGATAACAGGGTCCGGATGCTAGTCTGCGCCAATCTACAGCAATCAAATTGTAATAATTCTTTTTTAAATATTCCTGTCGAATGTCTACTAACGAATCTAGTTGCATGTCCGAGTTGTAACCGTGAACAATAATTTTTGTGGGATCTTGTGATTGAAAATATGTGTCACCCAAATTGGATCCGCTACTATTAACAAAAATTTTCTGACCAAGAATTTTGTTCTTTCGAGTGAAGAGGAAAAATCCAATCTCTCGGTCAGGACAGATTTGGTTAGTATTGACTAGACAGGGTCCAAGTAAAAAATCCTTTGTTGTCAATATATACTGATTATTTGCGATAGAGTTACTAAAACTGAAACTTTGTGTAAATGCCCGATGTAATAGTGTTAACAATAAGAGGAAACATAGTAGAGAAAAAGTTAGTAGACTTCGTCCATTAACTTTCTGGAAATACATCGTGCTTTTATTGCCACTGATCTTCAAATTTCACTCAATTGCACTGTATGGAATGTCTGTACAAATTAAACGTATTTTCTCTGTCAGCATACTCAGAGACCGTCTCGTTGGCAACTGCGATGATAATAAGGATGTCATATTATAAGCAGCGGTAATTAGTTTGTATAAAAAATCGCCGCTACCGTCGCCGCTTCTACCACCGCCTTAGTCGCCGTTACTACCGCCGCTGCTAAACCTACATTAATTATTGTGCATGTATACTTCGTGCCAAATTAATCCAATGTACTATATAATATTAATCTAATAAGTACAGCTACTGTGTATATATTTGAATCACAAGCAACATCATCCATCTGATTATTATTTGTGATAACAGAAAATACGTAGATTAAGAATCAATATGAAATCGGAACAAATTTATACAATCATACTGACATTAATTTTTCAAACTCATATTAAAAATTATTTAATTATTAAAAAATGTATAAATATACATAATAATTTTATTCGCGTATTACATTTACATTTAATTATTCAATATTGTTTAATATTCAATACTTATGTTATTCTTATATATAATACTGAATATTCGACAGAATATAAAACTAACAGTGTACACAACTAAATTTATAAATCGACTTTGTTTTTAATATCATATTTCCTATTGTTTTAATATTTTTTCAGATTTTTCAAGTATTCTTTCTTTATTAGTGTAAATTAGTAATTGTAAAATAAAAATATATTTATTAATTTTTTTCACATTTAAAATAATAAGAACAAGTTTTTTTTAATAGAAATATTTACTTAAATATGAAAAAAGTATACTTAAATATAAATTTTTGTATTTCAAATAATATAATCAAATTTATAGAAATTTAATCATTTAAAAATAACAATAATAATTATTAAAAAAAATCTATTTATTTGTATTTATTATTTTCCATGACAGATTACTTGAAACTTTATAATGTGTTTAAAATAAAGAAGTGATATTAATCTATAGAATTTAATCTATCAACAACCTGTGTGTTAAGATAATAGTCTTTAATATATATGTAATTTATATTTTTATCCGTTAAGAACATCAATCAATAAAATATATTTGATCACGCATGCATTCCACAGAATTATATAAGTTAATTACACATTTTTTACATTTAATATATTTCAATATTAAATTATATACAATAAAATTGTATCTAACAACGTAATAAAGAACATAAAAATATAATAATAAATATAAAATATTTTGATAATTTTTTTACTTGCTCTTAATGCATGCATGTATGTGCGTGCGCGCGTATGTGTGTGTGGTGTGTATGTGCATAAACATAAATTTTAGTTACAAATTGTGTTTTAATAACAATTAAATATGTTTAGTATTAAACTTAAAATATATTTTGTACTTTCTTTACACGAAAGTAATTTGTGACAAATATTTCTTTCAATATTTATCAAAGTTTAACTATTTATTTACTAAAGAGGTGAAATAATATACTTTAGCAAATACTATTATTTAATACAAATATAAAATCATACTGTAGTTAACATTTAAAAAAGGCGCAATTATTTTTCAAATATAAATTTGTATTATCACTTACAAATAATTTTTTTATTTAAATAATTAAATTATCGCATAAGTCTTTGCATTTTCAAGTTTGCTTGTTTTCAAAAGTTTTAAAACATTGTATTCTGAAAATGAAGAAGACTTCATCTATATCATATTAAATATAAAAACAGTAGTGTTAAATTAATATTTAGAAAACTCCATAAAAATATAACTCAATTTTAACAGAAATGTAAAAGAACATTGCCATTGTTATATAAACTTGTATCATATTTGCCGTTGTAAATGCAAAAATGGATTTATGCTAAAATATTTATTTTGCGTACATTTATGCCTCTTATGTATTTTCATTATTTAGATAATCCATTTAAGAATTATTTAAACTGTTGGTTAAACTTATAGTAAAGAAGTGCTTTATTTTAATTAAATGAAAAATTACATTTTTGTACAAATTTCAAAATTTAGTAAAATAAATTAATTGTTTATTAATTGGTAATTAAATGTTTTTATTTTTTAATTTATATCATATAATATATCGCACTTAGTTCAAAATTAGTTTATGCGAGTTATATTTTAATATTAACATAACATAAATGTCACATAACATAATTTTTAGCATACTTCATTGTGCGTACGTGCGTGCGTGCATGCATGGGCGTGTGCGCATGTGTGCGCGCGTAAGTGCGTGTATATATGTAAATACTATTATGGTTTATATATTAAAAATTTATGTATTATAAAAATTTTAATTATTTTTATTACAATTTCTCAATTTTTCAAATCCACATCTATAGACTAAATAGATGAAATTATGTAATTATTTGTTATTCATTTGCACTAAAGAATAGACACTATTCGACCATATATTTAAAACAGTTACGTTTCGCCATAAATAAATTTATAATTTTATATAAGAAATATTATATTTTATTTTAGAAATATTATATTATATTTCTTTTTCAGTTATCTAATATAATATAATAGAACTGTAAAGAAAAAGAAATTATTTGAAAGCTGTATTTTACCTTTATTTGATTCATATTTTGTTACAGACATAATTTTAAATTTCGTTGAAATTTATGAATTAGAATTAATCAGTAAATATGTGTATAATTTGTAAAACATGTAGAGAGAAGGTATGATAAAATTTAGTAACTGCCCTGCTGACATATTTTGTAATTGGAGAAATTCGGTATAAGCGTGAGAAATTTGACAATACATACTCTATTAAATTCGATTAATTAAGATTTCTAGTGTTGTCCACTAACATACTTGAAAGTTTGCGTACGGTTGCTGAATTAATTAATCAATAGTACTCGTAAACTGGGTTGGCTATTTACTCACAAATAATTCATATTTAAATGTACAATGAATACATAGAGCGTACTAAATGTATTCGGAAGTTTTTATATTCATTAAATAGTAAAATTGATTCACGCTTTTATAAAAGTACACTAAAAAAAGTTGTATATAATACAAGTCAGAATACTTGATATGAAAATGTATATGTGCATTAGTATATTTCTAAGACGTGTAGTATGCTCTTAAAAATATATTGAAAACTTATTTATACACCCACTATCTAATACTAGAAATTCAACATAAAGAATTTTTATTCGTATTTTTGATAATATAGCGTTCAAATTGATTTTAAATAAATTTTAAATGACTAAATCTAAATTTCTAAAAGGTCTACCTATTATTTATATAAGAATACTACATAATAATGTGTATGTAAGTAGCTTCTTATTTATATACATTTATATATATTAATGATTTCACGATATATTTTTATTATTCTGCTGTATTACTAAAAGCAACATTGATTTACTCTATTAATTTCAATAAATTTTCGAATAAATAACTTTACTCAATAAAAATATTCTATTTAACCCAAATCCCACCTTTCCTCGTATTAATTTAAAACTCTCTTCAGAATGTCGGCGAATAATAGAAAATATATATTATTTGAACTATTAGTATTTATAAATTATTATTATTTATTTATTATTCAATATCAAAAATAGTATTGATATCATGAGATAGATATATATTTTAGTTATAAATTTATAAATATATTTTTATTGTAAAATTAATTAAATCAGTTATACATAATTATTTAATAAACAGTTTCTATTAAAAAATCTCATACGTATTACCTTTATATTGTATTATATATCATTACAAGAGCAACTAATTTCAATATAAAATGATAATGGTCTATGGATTTTACACAATTGCTTTTTAAGTTTCACTTTAAAAAAGTATATGGCCACATCGAACAATTCTAAAGTTACGGCTTTAAAAAGATGCTACTTTCAAAACAAGTTAGCATTAAGTTTAAAAAATCTAAATATGTTTAATATAAGCATTCGACACTATGAACACAATATTTTATATAACTTATACTTACTTAAAGTACACTTAATTGGTTAATAATGATTTCATGTATTATGCTATATAAGTTACTAAAAATCTATTTAAAATAAATATATTTTAAATTGTATAAATCATTAAAAAAAAATGAATATTAGAGCCAATATTTTCCAACAGCTTGCTAAAATAAATTTTTCCATATAAAAAGTTTACCAGAAGTTTAAAATATTGGTCATAATTATATGAAAGTATTTCATGAGAAATCTATTAACTTATACTTTGAGCTAATTAATAAGTGTACTCTATGATAAAAGTTATTAAAAGTCCTTAATCTTTGAGCATACAAATTTTTAACAAAATATGAGTGGTACTTTTCTCACAGGGATAGTTGACGGGTAGATGTCCTTGAGGGTTATGTGAATTATGTGGATGTCGCGGCATTGGCATGCGTTTTCTGTAAAAGCACAAAACTGCAGCTGTCACAAGGCCTGCTGTAGCTAAAACTATGCAAATCATCATCATTGCAAACCAAGTGCTCTCCATGCCCAGAATAGTGGAAGCCTCCATATCTAAAATCAATCGATATATATGATCAATTTCTTATTTTCTTGTTTCGATACCATTTTGATGATTAATTTGAACATTTTCGATTTCATTTTCTTATGAGAAGGTAGTTTTTTTATTTGTATATGCTTTAAGCGTACATATATTTATACCATACAATGAATTTTTATTATTCATATATTAATGTTATTTCAAATGTTAATGTTAATGATGAATATTGGTAATATAATATCCTTCATAGTTAATAATTATATTCATCGGTTAAATACATAATATTCAATAGATGATAGTTTAATCAATACATAATACATAAAATTCAATATATAATAGATTTTTAGTCATTTTTATTAATTAATAAAAAGAAAGTATCTAACATTTTTTTATATATTTATTATATAATATATTAAAAAATTCAATTTTTAATAAAATAATAACGAAATAATAACGAAATAATAAATAATAAAGAAACGTTTTTATTAATTATGTAATATAATTTTAATGTATAACAAAATCGTATTCAATCTTATTTTTGATATTTTAAAATGTTAATACAATTTCTTAAAATGAATTTATAAAACTCCAGAAATATAATCGGAATAGTTGAAATCTATTAATATTTTACATTAAGTTAATAATTAATTACACTGTTTATTATATATTTCTGTAATTTATTTCACAATTTATACTGCAAATTTTATTTCTAAACTATTTTATATTTAAATATTTATTAATATTATCTTCTTAATATTTTTTCATTTAAATAAAGTATTATTATAACATAACAAATTAACAGATAACGTATAACAGATAGTATTTTTTCATAGTATGTAGTAAACTATATTAAATAATACTTACTGACACAAGCAGTGGAAGTGGCTTCATCAGAACCATCTTCGCAATGACTAATACCATCGCAGACAAGATCTTTATGTATGCAGAAATCTTTCAAATTGCATCGAAAATCATTGCAGGTATGTCCTAAATAAAAATATCTATTTTTATTAAGTTCAGGATTTATATAGCACGTAATTGTCTTACTATATTCGGTACAATTTAATTTCAAAACATATTATAGTTATTTGGTAAAGTTATTTATTCCAAATTTTCAATATAGATTAGTTTTTAATATAGATTTAATATATTTTAATATGCACGTTAAAAATATAAAATCATGTACTGAATTAATATTTTTAATTACTTACATAAAAATATCTTAAATTTAGCGTTACTAATCAATAATGAATATATTCATAGTATACCCACTAAAAATAGTTTATTGAATTAATAAATTAATACTTTCATTGAATTTATATATTTATTAATTCATACTTTTTTATTTAATCTTACTGAAATTTAATTTTAATAATGAAATTATGATCTAGTATTAGTTGAAATATATGAATTAAAAAACTTTTAATATATTTTAACATATTCGTAGAAATATATAAACTGTTATCTATACCAATAAATAGTTATACATAATCGAATTGTAATTCAAATTTCTTACAGAATAGTTATAAATTATTTTATAAAATGGTAAGAATTACTGTGGTAATAAAAATGGTTTAATATTGAAATTCCAATAAGTATTTAAATTTCAACGATACAAATTGTTTCAGTTAAACATATTAAATTATAAGAAGATATAATACATTGTTTTAATTCATGTATTAATTAGGAAGTTTGTAAAGTTAATTAACATATTAAATGATAATTGCGATATCTTACTGCATAATAAAAGCCCCAAAGTGAATATTAAATGATCATCAACATCATTCTGTTTGAATTATTTACTAAAGGACTTAAATCGAAATGCCCCTATTATGTTTGTACATAATACACATAATATGATATATATGTGTTTGTGTGAGTGTGTGTGTATATATGTGTGTAATCACTCTAGCACAGGTGCATAATACCGGAACATAATTGTTTGCTTTATTTAACTTATATGTATCATTTTCAAAATTAAACGCGAATTGTCTTTTAAATGCGTTGATTAAACATATATGTGAATAAAGCAAATATTATGGCTCAGATGCTGCACTATCATCATACAATAATACCTATAAATCAATTTTCTCTTTTATTCCAAAAAATGTACAAATTGTAAATTTTGTAGTCAAGTTTGAATTTTTAATTATAAATTCTTTTGAATTCCATCCATATATTTATGCCAAAATTTAAAATCATTGAAACATTGCAACATTTGAATAAAATAAATAAAAATTACGTTAATTTATTACACCATTTCTATTAGAAAATAGTTCTAACGTTTGTTAAAATGTCATTTATTTTTATGTTTAAATATTTTCAATTTTAAATATTTTTATAAAAATAACTTATACATAATAATCCTACAATAAATGTAAAAACAATAGCAATTAATATTAGAAGATTATTAAAACATTTATTCAAATATTATTTGCTAAAATTCAAATATCATTGTTTAAAAAGCAAAAATAATTAATATATTTAACAATTGTTACTAATAAATAAAAGATTTCAAATTCAAATTGGTCACTTATAATTATTTTATTTTATTAATTTGTCTAAATATTAAATTTATTTCATATACATTTTATGATTGAATATGACGTTGGTTATAATTGAATATTAGTATATAATTCATAAGAATATTTTTTATAAAAAGTAAAAATTAATAATTATTTTTTAAAATAAAAGTATTTAATTTATTTTTAAGTATAATTTAATATGTTAAAAATGGAGGACTTTAAGAAGAGCCTTTTATTTATACAGTGAAATGCATTACATTATTCAAGCTTAGTAAATTGTAGCATATTTGCTATAACTTCAACTAACTACGATTTTCGAATTGATATTTGAATATAATAATTTAATATATGTGTTATATAATGTGTACTTAGAAAACATAATAAAAATAAAATTTACTGTTATATTTTTTTTATTCTCGTTACTTTCGCTACCCCCCCCCCCTCTCTATTATATATATCATATATATCATTCTCAAACGTTTAAATCTTTTCTCTTAAGATAGGTATTTATATAACATAAATTAAATTTATAATAAAATTTCTATTTTCAATATGTATTTTTATTAATAGTACTAGTAATAACTTATCTTTAAAAATGTATGAGATAATTTTATCTATGAAGCGAATTTCTCTCATTACTTTATTAAATAATATATAAATACTTAAATGTGATATTCTATTAATTTTTTATATTGAAAATGAAGTGCAGATAAAAATGAAAGCAATATTTTACTACTATTGATAGAACAAAATATGTAATTTACGAAAGGTAATAACTTATACATATTCTCTATCAATCGTTACATTATAAAGGATATAAATTCATTTGGTGACTTATTTATAGAACAGAATTTTTCTGGAAACTATGTTTTTATTTTTATTATTATAAATTTTATAGTGCATATTAATTGTATATATGTATGAATTTAGATATTAATATGCATAGATATATGCGCGAGCGCATAAATACCAAATGTGCTCGCGTGGATAAATCAATTGTATTGCACAGTATCAATTTTCGTTCTTGGCAAAATATATATATATATTTCATTGCACAAATAATTGAGCCAATAGTGCTTTTATCTATGTTTGCGGCTTTCTCCTTTTGAGGAGAACCTTTATAGAGAATTTTATAAACTAAATATGTTAATTTAAAAGTTTCCCCAATACATGGATAAAAGTTTCACATAAATTTGTGTATATATCTCACCTCATTTATTAACGAATTATTATCACATGAATATCATTTGTGGTATTTATTATTATTATATTATGAGATCAGTTAAGATCAGTCAATCAGATCAGTTAATCGGATAATTCAATAATTCGTTATTAACAATTGTCGGTTGATAAATTCAAATCAATTTTCCCCTAATCTAAATTTTATATAAATAAATAATATTATAATTTCAATTATAACATTGAAATAGTTAGTATCAATATTAGTTAATATATTGTACATATAACGAAAATATAAAATATTCATTGTTGATTATATATAAAAATTATATTTTCAAAAATGAATAACGCTGAATAATCTATTGGTTTCATTGTTATATAATTAAAAACTTATTCATACCTATATTTACTATTATCGTATATCATAAGCACTGACTATATTAAATAGCCTTGTATGTAATATTCACAGAGGTATTAAGCAAACAATGCAAGAATACAGCATTTCTAGGAAAATTATTTATTAAAAAGTAAATTTTAAATAATTTTACAAAATAATAAAGAAAAATATAAAAGACTGAAAGGAAATAGATAAGGAAATGCAACCATTAAACAATTATTCCAAATATGGTATATCATTAATACCTTCTAAAAATGTATAAAAGATTGATAATGAATATGTCAAAATTTTAATATTTTCATATTATATAATGAAGTGCTAATTATAACTGTACTTGTCAATAGAATAAGTCGAATAAAAAAATAATCTTTACAGTACTGTATCCACTTATAAGTAATTCTGATTCTGTTATTCTTATATTTACTTTATAAACATCTGTATTTAATTATGAGTTTAAAAAATATAAACTTCGAAAGCTAATAAATGTTTTAATAATAATGATGATTATAGTAATAATGATAACATTAATCATAATAATACTAATAATAATAATAATCATAATAAAATATAAATACCATTTGGAATTCATTGTAAAACATCTGTTATCAAAATATCGATTTATGAAAAAAAACTGTGGTTTATTATTATAAAATTTGACTAATTTTTAATATTTTCAATATGAATAAATATATATTAATCATAAATATTGAAATTTAATTTGATAATGTTTATATATATATATATATATATATATACGAATGTATGTGTATATACATAATTGATAGACATAAAATAGGTTTTTATTAAAATTATTTAATGACTGTGTAAAAAACCATTGTTTTTGTTGGCATTACAATCGACTCAAAACCTTGTATACAAATAGATTTTTCTTTTACATAAAATACAATTCAAGTGGACAAAAGGGATAGGTGGTTAAATCTCCTTGTTTAATTATCCGCGAGCCATAGCACAGTATTAAGGGGGTGTGGCTATATAACATTACACCCACCGATCAAAAAACACTAATAACGAGAGTAAAAAAGCAATATACCATAAACAACTAGGTTAATATTTGCACCTATGTATATCTCACCATCCTGGTAATGTTTACTCGCTTCTTTGCTGTACTGATCATATTATGGGTTCTCAAATTTGAATGAACGTAGTCAGTTGAATTTAAAGAAAAAAATAGTGCTTCACAAAACACACTTTGCTTACTGAATATTAGATGCTACCACATAAAAAATTCTTTACAAATAGATAACAAATCGAATTGAAAGAAAATAAATTACTATACTATTTTATTTAAAAATTTAAATTATTCAAAATTCAAATCCGTAAAAATAGATAAATGCGGACAAATACTACAAAATTTATTAAAAAATTTTAATCTTTCAAAGAGCTAAGTTATAGAATTATAACTTAAATAATGCATATAATAAATATAACTATTAGATTTATTAGAAAATATTTAATTTTTCATTTAACTAATAAAAATTGATGATTACATTTAATATCTCAATAATGTTTATTAAAATAAACGATTATTTTGATTTAGGAGAACTACAATAAAGTCGTTAAAAGTTATTAAAATGTTAAATTGACTGTGACAAAAACTGAAAATGATAGATTGAATTTCTAAAATTGGAACATTTAATAGTATAAGATAATATTTTGTTATATATCAACTTAAAATAAAATTATATCGCAAAATATATTTATGTATTTTATGCAAGATCCTTTTACATATTTATATCTAAAATATTATTTAGTGAACAACTCAAAGAAATTAATTTCAGTAGAAAAGTATATACCTGTAATAAAATTAATTAATTGATTTATTTATTAAACTATCACTATAATTGATAAGTTAATTCATCTCTGTTAAGGAATTTTATATATACTATCAAAAAAGTAGGTAATACTTTCTTCACTATTTGTAAATATAAAGAATATTATAAAAATGCTCTTCATTGAAATATTAGATTTATTTACTTTAGTTTTTTCTATAAATAAATATTGAAAGTAAATCAGTAATCTATAGAAAAAATTATTAATGTAGTAAAGTTTAAATATTTTATTTCTACATTATTTTTACATTTACTATTCATTTATTTCGGAATACTCTACAATATATAAATTTTAACAATTATAAGTGATATAAGTTTTTACTAATTTGAAATTTATTTATACTGCATTAAATGTTGTTACAAAGAATTTCAAAATCTAATAGTTAATAATAAAGGTTCATCTATACAATTGCACAGAGTTTAAATATTTGTTCTTCTACGAAAAATATTCTTTTAGACATCTTTGTCCTGCATTGACTTTCCAAAAGAAATAATTAACGAATTAAGTAAACATATTTATATCAATAATATATTAGAATTAATATTGTAAGATTAACCATGATTAAAGAAATTCAATATAACATTTACATTTTTTCATAATGATAGTAACATTAAAATGTATTTATAAAATTAATTCAATTTGTTAGAAAGATAGAAATACATATATTTTTGCGTATATAAAATGTTTTATATAAAATGTAATATATAAAATTTTTGTTTATATAAAATAGTTGCTTATAATGAATGATGGGTATTAATCAAATAATAGTTTTTATTTTATTTATTAAATATTTTAATAAAAACTATAATATAGGTATAATATAGGTATAATAAATAAAAAATTAATGTAAAATTGTTTATAATAAATATATTTTAGTATTTATACCATCATAGGTATAAGTAAATCCTGTAAATATATATACTGTTCAAGAATGTATGAAAACTCCCAGCTCATTAAACATTTGGAAAAATCGAGATAAGAGTTCCGAAAAGGGCAACTCTCGGTTACGCGAGTAATAACATTCAAAAACGCGCCTCAGATTAACTAAATCTAAACAATTCAGCAAAACTTCGAATATCTTAAGAAAATAAACTTCATAAACACATCTGGCGAGAACAAGGCTCCAAGTGTCCAGCAAAACAAGTCATAAAACTAATGCTACGAGACATTTGACACGGCTTTGCCATAAAGCATCTATCGACGACAAATCATAAAATTAGCCTGAAAAACACAAGCCAGATGATACACTCAAAAACAATGCTACACCTAACCTTCACAACATTGACCGATCGCAGCGCTCATGATTATAAGAAATGCATGCAACAATGCTAGAATGGAGAGGGAAAAGCGCGGCATCAAGACCCCCCATCATGGAAGAGAGTTGAGCAAGACCCGCTCTCATCGGAGCCTCCATCTTGGAAAGACTCACTGGTGGGAGACCCCACCACTCGAAAGGCGCC